AACAGAAGCAATTTTATCATACACCAAAAAGATGCCAATACTCCTGACTGGGATATTTATAACCTATGATACAGCCATTTAAAGATTTCACTACATTTTCCTATTAGAAATGCTCTGATGGCACAGGCCTCCAGACACATAAATTATGACAAACAGCTTCTCATCCATTCCCACAAAATCCACCTCTCCTTTCTCTATCACATCAATCTCTAGTGACTGGCCCTCATTTTCAAGATGCCTCACCACTTCCTGTCCTCACTGGCTCACAATTAAGTCAGAATTCATCCTTATCAGCCCAGAATACCCGCTCCCATTGCCCACTTATTAAGTTATATGACAACTGCATGCCTTCCCCCTCCACTCCCACTATGACTGCGAGGAATCCCATGCAAACATTTGTCATTCTACTTCACTGCTCCCCCTTATCTCTGAAGGGGAAGTAATGCTGACACCCAGAGCAACACCACACTCATCTCCCACTGCAGAACTTAAGGCAACTCATTTAATGTACAAAATTCTTTAGGAACAGTTAAAAAAAAAAAATAAAAACAAAAATACCCACACACAGAAAAGTGACAGAAAAATTGATACTGCAACATTTAAAATATATCAAAATGCAGCATATTTCAAAAGGTGGCAACGTTGTTCCTAAACAGAAGTGTGGCTTCTTTTTAAAGTATAAAAAAATGTAATAATTTTGTTATTTTTAGCAGGAACATACACATTTAGATTATATATGAGCATTTTTCTCTTCTTTCTTCTCTGTACAGAATTAAATGCAGTATGTTCTCATTAGTCCACAACATTCATATATATGAACACAGAATCTGCACTTGCAGCAGTCTCATAACCTTTCAGAAGTACTGTCCCTGTCCTCACACAAAGACCAGAATTAATTGTGTTAAAATATGTTTAATCCCCCTAGTTTATACATTTCCCCCTACCAAAACCCAAACACATCTACGCATTTTAATCAAGGAAAGGTCAAGGTACCAAACACAATAGCACCCTATGTTGGGCTTCAAATAGTTTGTGACAAATTTCATGTTATGACAATGCAAGTAAAAACAAGAATCAAAATAGAATCTGTTACTGAGTTGGAAAGCTTCTTGCTACATAAAATAAATCCAATTAAGAGAAAGAAAACTATTCCAGACACCATATGCCTCTGTCCTGACATAACTGATAGCATTCTACAGAAAGCAGCTCACATGTTGGAAGCTTCCTTTTCATTGTAAGCTTTCATGCAAGTATTTCTCAATCATAACTGTAAAAGAATAGAGGCGTGTGTGTACAAATCCCCCATCACCTTCCCCAGATTTCAAGTGACAACTCTCTCCTAGCCTTGGTCAACTTCCTTCTACCTCTCAAACAAAATTTGCTCACACAAGCTAAAGAAAAACAAACATGCTTACATTGAATTCTGTAAGAGTACTGTACCTCGAGTTACCTGATAAGGTGACAAGCAAATGAAAGCAGAGAAATTAAAAAATAAAAGAAAATCTCATATTTGCAATTTGGATTTCTACTACCTGAAGATATATGATTAAGCACATGAGGTTCAACCAGCACTGAGCAAAATAAAGAGATAATAAGATGGACACACTTATCAATACCACTTTCTATGGAACCAAAGCTACAAAGCCAGCTCTGCTCTAGAAATATTACCTGTCCTACAGCTTCTACTTCACCTTCCCCATGAGAAGCACAAAGTCACTACCTGCCATGCCATCCTCCTCATAATTGCACAATACTCTTTGTGCTGTTAGAGAACCCTTTCAGGGACTAACAATTGTATTTCCAAAAGCTTTCTCACGAAGTTTTACTCAAGAGTCAAACTGTACCTCTGAATCCCAAGGACTACGCTCTGGTAAAGCCTCCAGAGAAGAAAGCTGCTTTGTCCTGGACTGCCAGGAGCAGGGCCTCCCACCGGAGGGGTGAAAGGCAGCAAACCCCCAGGAAAGCATCCCTGTCTCCACTATGTATCACACACCAGTTAGGCACACATGGCTCTATAGAAATTTCTACCTCACTTGTGAATTCTGAAGTTCACGCCCAGCAAGAAAAACACTTCAACTAAAGGGAAGGAACAATCAAAGAAATAAATACCTTATTACATTTTCCTTTCTACCTTCCCGGATGTTCACTGATTGGAAGGTACTCCATATAGCACCTCCTCCATCTGCTACCTAAAAATCCAGAAGCTACACAACCTGCCCTTTTCTGTCCATTCCTCACAACACACAACTCCAATTCACCCACCCATAACACACTGTACAAGCACTTCTTGCAGTCTGTTACATCTCTTTTGCACTGTGCTCCCTTGGCCTGAGACAACCCCGTGGTTACTCTAACCTCAGTTACATGGAACAAGACACCTTCTCATGTAACAAAGAACATTGGTTCAAAGGCTTTCTTAACTGTGCACAGTTCAAAGGAAGAACCACTGCTCAGACTGTCTGGATTTGGCTTAATATGTTTTAGGTGTAAATTCTACTACCAGCCTAAAATGGCACATCCCCAAGGTAGGCTTCTGTGAAGAGGAGTTCAGAGCTCACCCCCAAGCCTATACTGCCCAGGATACCTGCAAGGACTGCCATTGCCTTCCAGGACAGTCACAAGCAAAGCAAGCAATAGCCCCATCATAACCAGAGACTAAACCACAAGAACAACCCTTTTTCATACATTTTGGAACTATAGCATTAGGGGTCAGATACCTGAAACCATCCTCTCGAGAAACTCCTTACACTCCTCACAGCCAGCTCCCACCAAAAGCATCAGGGCTGCTTTCTGTCACAGTTAAGACAGGTGCTCCCCATCACCCAGGTGCTGCCCCTTCCCCACAGCACTCAGCCTCCATCCATCCATCCACCCACTCCTTCCCTCACCTGCTGTTACTGCCCCTTTTGCTGGGACTGCTCCCAGGAGAAAGGTACAAGGACGCTCCAGCCAGGGCCTACAAAACACATTTTCCTCATCTCTGTGCAAGTCCTGCAAGGGTCTCACCTCCCACCAATGCAGCACACCTACCAGCTGGGAACTACTGTGATAAACGTTTCCTAGCTGGCCCTACTTTTCCTCTCTGCAGATCTTATCTCTGAATCTGAGAATGCTTCTTTTCATTTTATTGGAAATAGTCCAAAGAAAATTGAAGGCAGATAAATTCTATCGCCCCTCTTTAAATCTTAACAATTTTGTCACCAAGTTGTTAACGTTTGAAATGTTCCAGGTATAAACAAACAGAAATGTATCTAATAATTTGCCTAATATATCCTGAATCCTATGGTAATGATGAAATTCAATCTATACAAACTCTCAGATTAAGCAAAGATAAGGAGTTGTCTCCATTTACATTAACTGTAAGTAAAAATTCACTTCAGTTTTCAGTGTTTATGAAAAAGCATGGCTTTCATGCAGATAAATGAAGTGTACCTTTTCTACCCAGTTTAATTTTCCTAAAGAGCAGCAAGTGCCTGAGAACAAACTGAACAAGAAGAAAATCTGCACAGAAAGAAAAAAGAATCATGGTTTTGGTTTCCTTTAAATACAGAAACGTAATGACTGGGCTTCTTTTCCAAGATGACACTAGATAGCAGCTCTAAAATATTTTTATCCATCACAATCCATTTATTATTCCTTTCTTCCCCTCTTTCCGCAAACAGCCAAAGACTCTCCTTTTCTGACACTCCAAAATAAAGATTTTCATATGGCTAACTTAAATCATCCAAAGTTCAAAAACAGTATAAACGCAGAAGAATATTAAGAACGGAAATCTAAATGTACATTAATTGTGTTCAGTACATAAGAAAAAGCTTATCCTCAATAATCAGTAAAATTAAGAGTAGGTCTTTATTAAAACAGTCAGAACCTGGAAATAAGGATTGTATTGCTTCTTGTATCTGTTTACAATGGGAAAGGATAACAAGTGATTATTCGTTCAGATTTCTATTTTGCTCTAAAGTAGGCCAGCCAGATCAGCACTTTTCTTAAGATTATGAATACTAGTCTGCCCTACATATGGTATAGGCTGGAACCAATCAGATGAGCTGCAATATGCAGCAAACCCAACTATTTTAATGTAATTCATTTTCAGCTATAAATGAAAAGTGCACAAAATGAGTTTAAAAGGATCAGATTTTAAATAGTTTTAGAATATGCTTTGCAATTTTCATAGCTCACTAAGAGGCTCAATGATTTCCTCACCATTGGATTAACACTTAATCTAGATTCAAAAATAATTCGTTATTCATTAATAACTCCTTAACAGTGTGTGTTCTCCACTAGTTTTTGTTTAATTTTTGTACATCAGTTATACAATAACAAGAAAACTGAGCACTGTCCACATTCAATAGCCTTTCACAGTACTAAGACATTCAGGATGCAGACACACTCCACAAGAAGCCTTAAATCAAAACTTTAAAAACATATGAAACAAAATAATTCCTTGAATTTTTAAGTTAAATACTTCTATTTGCTCTCTCCCCCATACAAGCCATCCATAACGTTTTTGTTGCTATTTGGAAGCAGAGAGGTTATATAATAGAAGGTTGGTTTCTTGAACTCAACTCAAAACTTAATAATGTGTCTTTAAACAAAGTCGTCTGTTTGGAAGATCATAACTGTGGCAAATGCTTTAAGCCGTTTTAAACTTATTTTTCTTAAAAGCTAACTAGTCTGATTTTCTCGAGCTACTAAGCACTCCTAGACCCAGTGAAGTCATTGCTTTGAAAATATCAGTTAACTCAGAAAACAAAAATACTTTCATGTTCAGTTTTTCCTTCTACATTTAAGATATAAACATTGCCAAACCATTAGTAAGGCATTTCTGTCAGATTACACCACTCAAAATTACTGGTAGGCATCAGCAGCAAGGCAAAGATTAAAAAAAAAAAAAAAAATTAAAAAAAGGTTACAGTGCAAGTTTGTTTAAAACGAAGGTGATGCCCTTATTATTTTGATGTACAAGACATAGTATTTTTTGTAACAGGAGAGAAGTATACCTTTCATCAGCTGCAGGACCTTGATGTCATATTTGGTGATGTAATCCAAATGGGTCTCAGCAGCATCTTCCACAATATCCTCAAGTTTCAGCAAGAGGCTCTTCCACTTCTTCCAGGAGCGCATTAAGTTATGTATGAATCCAAATGGTTAAGACGTTCAGCAGCTGTACAGTACAGTTTATACCATGATAACAACCCTTGAAGAATCCCAAGCTGTATTCCAGCACTCAAAGAACAATGCAATATGGCACCCATCACAGACTGACATTTTGGCAACCATCCCATTTTCCTGACGACCATGCTTTGACCTGTTCACATAAGAGGAAGAAGTGTTAGTTCAGCACAGTAACTCTGCTGCACCACTCAGGGATGAACATACAAAGTTACATTTTTCTGAATAATTTCAAACACGTATTTCTTCACAGATTTGGAGAAATCCTAAACTCAAAGCCACTGATGGCATTTCACTTTAACATCACCAAGCTGGAGTGTAAAAGAAGACTCAAGCTGGATGCTGTCGCTCTTGTACTTTCAATACTTTAAGAAAAAGGCTTTCAGATTTCCCTACACATTGTCTTACATTACAGAAAGCACGGTAATATAAAGGTTCTTCAACTGCCCTGGCAGATACTTCAAAACTCATGAAAAGAACAAGTCAGTAAAAATAAGGTAGGTAGGCAGGTAGCAAAAATAAAACTCATCAACCCTTCTAAGGAAACGTATGAGGATGGTGGAGGAGAACTTAACGTTGATCTTTCCTCCCCCCTTAGCCCCGGCTCAGTGTCCCTCCACGGTACCTCCACCAGCAGGCATGTTACTGCAGCCGAGGGGCTTGAGCGAAGAGCAGCACTGTTGACACTTGGCCCAGAAAGGGGAAAGCCAAAGCAGTTAAACCTGTGCCTACCTACACTGGTACTCCTGCTATGCCATTGCCTCAGAAGTACCAACAGCAAATTTTTGCTTAGGTTGGGAAGGGGAATATGAAGAATGGAGAGAAGAGTTTGACTACTCCGCACAGGAGGGAATAACGATGTGAAGAACAGCATTGGGTCTATCGAGCTGGAGTGGGGGAAAAAGAAAAGAATGAACTTCCACACCAAGGATGAGGGAGAGGAACTAGAAGAAGCTTTTAGAGACTGGAAGATGTATGTGCACAGAGATAAAGAAAAGAAGAAAGGAGAAGGTGAATATTAGTGAATTCACAAGAATTTCTGCTGGAAGGTCTGTCTGCATAACTGAGTAACATGCATGTAGGGCAGACCACCAAAGAATAATTTTAGAAGAGGGAACAAGAAGAAGCTCTTGTGTTTGCTTCATATCAGGAGAAACAGGAGCATATCTACACATGTACAAAAAGAAAGAAACTTAATGGGAAATGCAAGAAAGCATATAGGTGGAAAGGGACCAGGAAGAAGGAGGATGAGTGACAACAGAAAGTGGAAAAGTAGAGACTTCAGAAATTCTGAAATGGATAGATCTAAGGAGGGAGAGGGACAACTGGCAAATTAGCATAAGCAAATAACAAGGGAAAGGGAAAGTAGTGGACTGGGATAAAAAAAAAAGAGGAAAAGCAGTTGTTACATAGCATAGAAAAATGAAGAGGAAAAAATAGGATGCTAAATTAATCAAGATAATTAAAAGTACAAAGAGCACATGAGTAAGTTTTCTGAAGTTGCGATGCTTGCTCTAGAAAGCGCAAATACCAGACAGAGTGGAAAAAAACCCAAAGCAACTATCGCTTTTCCAAAGGGACAAAGCGGACCACACTGGGCAGGGGAAGATAAGCCGAGGAAGGTCCAGCCTGGACTGACCCTTCCCACTCTCCCCCTCCGCTATGATCAATGCGAAAGGAAGAACAAAGTCCTCCTTCTGGTGTGTGTCCCCCCCCTAAAATTGTCCCTCCGCACTTCTGCACACCTTGCTCCCCTGGGATGGTCCCACAGCAGCAGTAAAACCCTCCGTGGTGTCCCCGGCCGAGGCTGGCACCCAGCGGAGCCCCCACCTTGCCCCTGCTGCACGTTGCCCTTCCCAGCCCCACAGCCTCCACTTCTTGGCCAGGGCCCCCAGGACTCCCTACAATCCCAAGAAGTTTTCCCCGTCTTCAGCTTCCCTCTGTCCCAACTCTGAAAAAAACAGCCCGACCCAGAAAGCTGAGCCCACTTCCCTCCCT